TTCTGGCTTCTGGCCACCCCGAGTGTGGCCGTCTTGCCTGTGCTGGTTCTCTCGTCCTTGACGGTGGGCCTCTCCCTGCCACTGCAGGGCCATGTGGCTTCCTCCACTATGAGCTGCCCTCAAGAATCCTTTGCTTTCTGCTTTTGACTTCTTAGCCGTCCTGTCTCTTTAGCAGAGTTCATTCTTGTGGTGCCAGGATTGAACCCAGGGCCTTTGCACTAAGCTGCATCCCAGCCCTTTTTAGACGTTTTACTTTGAGGAAAGATCTTGGAAAGTTGCCCAAGCTGGGCGAAAATTTGTGAACCTCCTGTTATCCTCCCAGAGTGCTGAGATTACAGGCGTTTCCCCTTTCTACCAGCTAGGTGTCCATTCTCTTTGATTTGTGGTTTGTTTGTTTTTGGTTTGGGTTTTGTTTTTTGTTGTTGTTTTTTTGGTACCAGGCGTCGAACTCGGGTCCTTGTGCTTTCGAGGCCAGCGGTGGAACCACTGAACTAAATCCCCAGCCATAGGCATCCATTCTTGATGCTCACCCTGTCAGAGTGAAAGCTCGCTTTGAGTTTGTAGCTTTCTTTCTCTAAATGGTGTCATCCAGTTAAACGGTTCTTATATTTAGTGTATGCAAGCTTATCAATTTTTAATGCAGTTTTGTTCTTACATCTTGGTTAAGAAAGTATTTGTCTTTCTGTGGCCAGAAAGTACTTCTCTATATTTTCTCCTATAAGCTCAAAGTATTTTCTTTGCACATTTAAATTCCTTTTTTTCCCCCCCGCTACTGAGGACTGAACCCAGATCTTTTACATTGAGTATGTTTCCAGATCTTTTTTTGTTTTTTCAGACAGGGTCTTGCTTAGTTGTTAAATTTTCCAGGCTGGGCCTGAACTTGCAATCCTCCTGCCACAGCCTCCCAGGGTGTAGGACTAGAGGCCTGTGTCACCGGGCCCAGCTACATTTAAGTTCCTAATACACCTGGAGCTGACTTCAGTGTGTGGCGTGAGGTAGGGGTGACCTGAATGCCTCTGCCCCCACTTGCAGGTCTGCCTGCTCACCCCTTCTGCCCTTGGGTGTGGCCCATTGAGGTCCTGTCCTGGCCTTGCAGGGAAACTTCCGGCACACGGAGACCCACAATGCTGTGTCCCGAGAGGAGCTCATGATGGTCCTGGCGGGCCTGGAGCAGCTGCAGATCCGCGCTCTCTTCTCGAAGATCTCCTCGGCTGTGTCCTTGCGTAGGGTCGTGCTGGAGGTGGCCAGTGAGGTGGGCACGGGACCTCCGGCCAGCAGTGTGGAGTTGTGCATGTGTCCTGCCAACTACCGTGGGGACTCGTGCCAGGTGAGATGGAGGCTCCGGTGGGGGCTGTGTCCTTCCTTCCCTGAATGCCCCTCCTGCTGCAAGCATTCTCGGTGCTGTCCCCACCTCTGTCCCCTGTTCGCCTCTTCCTGCCTGCTGCCCGGCTGGCCTGCGCACAGGTTCGTGGTCAGCTGCTCGCTGGTGCCCATGCATTGCCCACTCTGGCCCTTGCCTACCTAGCCATCCAACCTAATGTCCAGCTAATTGGCTCCTCTTTGTCCCACACCATTCACCCACTGCTGTTCACCTGGATGTGGGTGGCTCCTGTCACTGGCAGAGGACTGTGGCTGAGCTCCCTGAGAGGCAGCTGTAGAGCAAGGCTGTGGCCCACATGGGTGCTGGTCACCGGCCCCAAGGCCCAGCCATTTATCAGTCAGGGTGTCTGCATGGCCTCAGCAGCCCGTCCTCAGGCCTGAGGGTGGCAGCCAGACACGGGGCCTGCATCCAGCTGGCCAGGGCCCGGAGCTTTGCTTCTGGCCCAACCTCTGCCCAGTGTGTGTGGTGTCTGCTACGGGCATGGGCTCCCTGCTGGTGAATACAGGGGCCTGGGTCCGACTGGAGTGGCTCGATGGTCTGCCTGGCCCAGGATGCCTTGGCTGCTGTGCTCTCATCGGTGTCCTCTCCACCCCGCAGGAATGTGCCCCTGGCTATTACCGGGACGTCAAAGGACTCTTCCTGGGTCGATGTGTCCCCTGTCAGTGCCACGGCCATTCAGACCGCTGCCTCCCTGGTTCCGGTGTCTGTGTGGTAAGTAGGACCATGGGGAAGCGGCACCAAAGGCCTTCGGGACTGTGGCTTCAGAGGCCCTGAGGCCCAGTGCCTGGGGCATGGAGTGGGTCCCTGGAAGGGTTGGGTGGGACGGGGCCTCCACCATGGGCGCTGACCATCCACTCTGCCCCAGGGCTGCCAGCACAACACGGAGGGAGACCACTGTGAGCGCTGCCAGGCCGGCTTCATGAGCAGCCAGCCTGGGGACCCCTCTTCTCCCTGTGTCAGCTGCCCCTGCCCTCTAGCGGTTCCTTCCAACAAGTAAGCTGCACCGGCCCCTTGTGCTTCCTTGCCAGAACCCCACTATTTTACCTCCACTCGGAACCAGGGCAGCGGGAGGGGTTCGCTGGGTGGGCGCTGCCTGGGCACTGGCAGGGCCGGAGGAGCTCAGCGACCACCGTCTTGCAGCTTCGCGGAGGGCTGTGTCCTGCGTGGTGGCCACCCCCAGTGCCTCTGCAGACCCGGCTACACCGGGGCCTCCTGTGAACGGTGAGCCAGGCAGGCCTGGGCGCTAGCTGGGTGCTCCTGCTGGGGGCACAGGGTGCTGACCGGCCCTCGCTCACTGCCACCCAGATGCGCTCCCGGCTTCTTCGGGAACCCTCAGGTGCTGGGCAGCTCGTGCCAGCCCTGTGACTGCAGTGGCAACGGAGACCCCAACATGATCTTCAGCGACTGTGATCCCCTGACAGGCGCCTGCCACAGCTGCCTGCGCCATACCACTGGACCTCACTGTGAGAGCTGTGCCCCTGGCTTCTACGGCAACGCCCTGCTGCCTGGCAACTGCACCCGTAGGCACCCTGGGGACAGGTCACCATCAGGACTGTGGGCAGGGCTGGCCAGGGAGTTGGCAGCCATGGAGCCAGGGTAGCCTGGAACAGGCACAGCCTGTAGGGGTGAGAGGGGTTTGTCAGGCCATCTGGCGGGCTGCTTGTCACAGCCTCCTCTCCTGTAGCGTGCGACTGCTTCCCGTGTGGCACAGAGGTTTGTGACCCCCGGAGTGGCCATTGCCTGTGCAAGGCCGGCGTGACTGGGCCCCGCTGTGACCGCTGCCAGGTAGGGCTGGAGGAAGTGGGGGCCTGGGATTGGCACCGAGGGCTGGGGGAGGCGGGGACTCATGAGCAGGGCAGGGCTGTGACCCCAGCTTGCACCCGCAGGAGGGACACTTTGGTCTCGAGGGCTGTCAGGGTTGCCGCCCTTGCTCCTGTGGACCAGCCGCCGAGGGGTCTGAGTGCCATCCCCAGAGTGGGCAGTGCCGCTGCCGACCAGGAGCTGGGGGACTCCAGTGTCGTGAGTGTGGCCCTGGCCACTGGGGGCTCCCGGAGCAGGGCTGCAGGCGTGAGTATGGCAGGCCACAAGAGGGCGGTGGGCACCACACACGGGCTGTGTTGATCCTGCCTGATCCCTGTTCCCCACAGGCTGCCAGTGCCCAGGGGGCCACTGTGACCCACACACAGGCCGTTGTACCTGCCCGCCAGGGCTCAGCGGGGAGCGCTGTGACGCCTGCAGCCAGCAGCACCAGGTGCCTGTGCCAGGTGGGCCCAAGGGCCAGGGCGTCCACTGCGAAGGTACGGCCCATTCTGGGTCCTTCTCCTGCCTTGCCTCACCCTTCCTGTTCTGCCTGGGGGCCGTGGGGGTCCTAGAGTAGTGGCCTGGCTTTCTGTCTGTTTCTCAGGGCCCCCCCATGATCGCTGCTGACCTCACACTGGCCCTCCTCTCCCCAAATCGGTGCTGTGGCTCCAACCTTGAACCCCATCTGCCCATCACAGGCACCCAGGCCCCACCCCATGGTGTATTTCCTGTGTCCTGAGGCCAGCTTCCTGTGCCTGCCCAGTTCCCTCCTGACCCTTCATGCCTTTGGCCTGGCTCAGTCTCCTGTGCCAACTCTGGGACTCCACTGCCAGCCCAGGAGCTCTCCTGGTCTTGTGATGTGCACTGACCCCACTTCTCTGGCAGACCTCGTGACCCTCAGCCCTGTGCTCTGCCCCTGCCCAGACCCGTGACATTGTGTAACCCAAGATTTTGGCCCCTGTTCTGACCCCACGGCCCTTCACTGTCCCCAGTATGTGACCACTGTGTGGTCTTGCTCCTGGACGACATGGAGCAGGCCAGCGCCCTCCTCCCTGCCATCCGTGAGCAGCTGAGTGGTATCAGTGCCAGCTCTGCAGCCTGGGCCCAGCTATGCAGGCTGAACACCTCCATCACCGACCTGCAGGTACTGTGCACCCGTCCCCCAGGTGGGGTGGGCACCTGCCTCTGCTCAGCCCTGCGGTGCAGCCCCTCCTCCAGTGCAGGCCTCTCCGCCAGGCCATGTGGGTACCCACCTTCATTCCTCACAGGGCCAGCTCCGGAGCCCACTGGGCCCCAGCTACAAAGCAGAGCAGCAGCTGCAGACCCTGGAGCGACAGAGTATGAACTTGGAGCAGGATGTTCAGCGGCTGAGTGGCCAGGCAGGACCCTAAAGCCCCCACCCCAAGTCCCCTAGGGCACCCCTGCCCCAGGACCCTCAAGTCCCTAATTCCCTGATCCCCCAGCCCCAGCTGTCCTGCACCTGCAGAACTGTAGGCTGAAGGGCTCTGCATCCATAGGCCATGGGGGCCCAGGACCGGGCTGGCCAGCTGCTGAACAGTACGGAGGCCACACTGGGCCATGCACAGACACTGCTGGTGATTGTCCGGGCTGTGGACCGCGCCCTGAGCGGTAGGGTTGACTTCTCCAGCCTCAGAGAAGGGAGGGCTGCCTGGGGGTGGAGGACACTCCCTGGGGTCTGCCTCTTTGCTTGGCCTCAAGAGCTGGCAGAGCCGCATGTTTAGATGGGGAAATGGCGTGTCTGGAGTCGACAGGTCAGTTGAGAAGCTAGGCGAGGGGCTGATCTGGCCAGTCTGAGCTGGGTGGGCTCTGAGAAAGCATGGTTTTGAGAGTCAAGCGGATGAGCTCTCAGTCCCACCCTCGAGACCTTCAGCCAGGAGGAAATGAGGGCCCCTGAGTTTATGAAGCAGCCGACCACAGGCTTACAGAGCAGGGCCTGGGCCAGCTCAGGCCGGGGAGAGGTAGTCTCGGCTGAGTGCTGGCCAATGAGCAGGACTTGGCCTCAAGAAGGGACAGGGAAGGCCATCAAGGAGTCAGGAGCAGTGAGCAGCATGCTGGGGGTGGCACTGTAGGAGGGCAGCTGTGGCCCTTAGCGCGGAGATGCTGGGTGGAAATGTCACGGGGCCCGGACCCTGACCGTTTCCTTCCACAGAGCTGGCATCCCAGCTGGGCCACATCTCACCAGCCAACGCATCGACCCCATCGGGCGAGCAGCTGCACCGGACACTGGCAGAGGTGGACAGGTTCCTGCGGGAGATGCGGGCCCGTGACTTCGGGCCACCCCAGGCGGTAGCGGAAGCTGAGCTGACCGACGCCCAGAGGCGTGAGTGGCGGCTGTCCTGTCGGGAAGGCAGGGCTGTGTTGTGGGAGGCCAGCTGTGGTGGGGCTGGAGCCGCAGCGCGCCCACTTCGAGGGGCAGATGGGGACTGGGACTCGGGAAGGGATCTGCTGCCAGGGTAACTGCCCTTGCCCCTGGTGCTGGCCAGTGCTGGCCCGTGTGCAGCAGCATCTGACCCGCCGATGGGAGGAGAACCAGGCGCTGGCTCAGCATGCACGCGACCAGCTAGCTCAGCATGAGGCCGGCCTCATGGACCTGCGGGAGGCCCTGAATCAGGCGGTGAGCACCACGCGGGACGCTGAGCAGCTCACCAGCCGCAACCAGGAGCAGCTGGAGGAAGCCCTGGTGAGGGACTCCTCTGCCCACCCTCTCACCCCACTGCCCCTCCCTGCCGGTTGTCCTTTATTCTCACACACACACACACACACACACACACATCCCCCACTTGCCTTCAGCAACGGAGGCAGGAGCTGTCCCGGGACAGCGCCACCCTGAAGGCTACTCTGGAGGCTGCCAGCCGCACCCTGACCCATGTCTCTGAGCTTCTGCGTGGCACGGACCAGGCCAAGGAGGTGAGCATGGTCCACATTCCATCAGGCCACTCCCCACTTAGTTCCCTCCCACACCATGGGCTGTGGTGGGTTCTGGTGCTCATGTGCATGCAGAGTGCCCCCTTGCGTCCCAGATGTGGCCCTACTGAGCCTACCCACCTCCAGGACCTGGAACACCTGGCCGCTAGCCTGGACGGGGCCCAGACCCCACTGCTGGAGAAGATCAGGGCCTTCTCCCCAGCTGGCAGCAAGCTGGACTTGGTGGAGACCGCTGAGGCCCACGCAGAGCAGCTGAATCAGCTGGCATTCAACCTGTCCAGGTGTGTGGCCCAGGTCCCTGCTGGGTGTAGCCAGGCCAGGATGGGGCTGCTGGTCTGGGAGGGCTCCTTGGTAGGGGAAGCCATTAAAGGGGTCAGACTTTCCTGAGTCTCACAGGAAGTCGGGGCCCAGGCCGGCAGGAAGAGCACATGGGTGGCAAGCCAGGCCAGGGGTCTGGCTCTCCGCACCTGCACATCTCTCTCCTCCCTCTGCTTTGCACAGTATCATCCTTGGTGTCAACCAGGACCGTTTCATCCAGAGGGCTGTGGAGGCCTCCAATGCCTACAGCAGCATCCTAAAGGCCATGCAGGATGCTGAGGATGCCGCTAAGCAGGCCTGGCAGCAGGCGAACCATGCGTGGGAGGTGAGCCTCTGACTCCCCAGGCTGCAGGGAGCCCGAGCCTGGCCCCGTTGGTGTGACCTGCATTTTTCCCCATCTGCAGACCGCGGTACAGCGGGGCCTAGTGCCTCGAGCCCAGCAGCTGCTGGCCAACAGCAGTGACCTGGAGAAGGCTGTGCTCGGGCAGCAACAGAGGTTGGGGCTTGGTGAGTTCAGGGCTCCTTGGGGACTCTGGGCCAGGTCTGTGTGGGTTTTGTGGGTGGTTCTGGCGTGATTCAGGGCAGAAATGGAACTAGCTTGGTGTGAATTCTGCTCCCCACCTGCAAAGGGCAGCTTCTGCTGTGGTGGTGTGCCCAGGGCCCCCAGCCAGAGTGCAGTCTGTGTGCACGAGGCCTGGGAGGCTCCTCCCCACTGAGCCTGCCTCCCCCGCAGCGTGGGTCACCCTGCAGGGTGCCAGGACCCAGCTCCGAGATGTCCAGGCCAAGAAGGACCAGCTTGTGGCCCAGCTCCAGGAGGTGCAGGCCATGCTGGCCATGGACCCAGGTACGTGGGTGTTTCTTCCTCACCTGCCGCTCCTTTGTCCCCATGGGGAGTGGACCCTTGGCCTGAGGGACACTACCTGGCTGGCAGAGTGGCCGTGTGACCGTGGACACACTCACTCATGTCGCTGCAGTGCAGCTTGGGGTGGGGTTGGAGCACATCCTGGGAGCAAGGACTCAGGGCAAGGGTGTGTGGTTTATCCTGCTTCTGGAAGGACCCGTGGCTGCCACGTGTCCTGAACAGGGCTGGAGCCTCAGAGGCCTGAGCAAATGGGGTTGCTGGCAGCAGGCAGCCCAGAGCCTCCGAAGGTGGCAGGAGCAGCATGCTCAGTGAGGGATCTTCAGTGGGTGCTGAGGGTCAGCTTTGACTACAATGAAAAGAGGGGCAGGGGTTCCCATTCTGGCCCTTTGGGGGTTTGGGGCTGCGAGGGCAGAGTGGTCTTCATCCGACCCCTGCCAAACATGCCCTATTCCTGCTGCAGGTGAGACAAGCGAGAAGATTGCCCATGCCAAGGCCATGGCTGCTGAAGCCCAGGACACAGCTGCTCGGCTGCAGTCCCAGCTTTGGGACATGCAGAGGAATCTGGAGCAGTGGCAGGGCCAGTTTGGGGGCCTGCGGGGCCAGGACCTGGGCCAGGCAGTGCTGGATGCAGGCCACTCAGGTGAGCCAGTGGTGTGGGTCCTGGGGAGGGAGGTGGGCAGTGAGCTCTCAGTGCACGCAAGCGCACACACACCCTGTGCCTGCAGTGTCCTCCCTGGAGAAGACGCTGCCGCAGCTGCTGGCCAAGCTGAGCCTGCTGGAGAACCGCAGCACACACAACGCCAGCCTGGCCCTGTCCGCCAGCATCGGCCGCGTGCGGGAGCTCATCGCTCAGGCCCGGGGCGCTGCCAATAAGGTGGGTGGCGCCCGGGGGACGGTGGTGTCTGGGAGACGGAGTGGTGAGCACTGACACTCCTGCACTCCCAGGTCAAGGTATCCATGAAGTTCAACGGGCATTCGGGGGTGCAGCTGCGCACCCCACGAGACCTCGCAGACCTTGCCGCCTACAGCGCCCTCAAGTTCCACCTGCAGAGCTCTGAGCCAGCGCCAGAGCCCAGGCAGCAGGCCGGGGACCACTTCGTGCTGTACATGGGCAGCCGCCAGGTAAGGCTGGACAGGAGGCCAGGTGAGCTGACTGTCAGGAAGGGTGGTGTTCGGTCCCTGCCCCAACTGTTTCTGTCACTGCCGCAGGCCACTGGGGACTACATGGGTGTGTCTTTGCGAAACCGGACGGTGCACTGGGTATACCGGCTGGGGGCAGCTGGCCCCGTGACCCTCAGCATCGACGAGGACATTGGGGAGCAGTTTGCCACCATCAGCATCGCCAGGTGGGAGGCCCTGGGAGAGGCAGCACCCTCGCTGTGGGGTCCTGGCCACAGCTCACCCGCACCTTTGCCTCTGCCCCCAGGACCCTCCAGTTTGGCCACATGTCTGTCACGGTGGATGATCCGACCGTCCAAGAGACAAAGGGGGACGCGGTAGCCCCTGGGGTGGAGGGACTGCTCAGCCTGCAGGCTGACGACTTTGTCTTCTACGTGGGCGGGTACCCCAGCAGCTTCACGGTGAGCCTGGGCCAGCCGGGGACAGCCTGTGAGCAGCTGCAGCCCCGCCCATCCCATCCTGTCGTTTCCTGGCCGGATGGGGGAACCCTGACTGTTCTGTGCCCGCAGCCTCCCGCACCCCTCCGCTTCCCCGGCTACCGGGGCTGCATTGAATTGGACACGCTAAACGAGGAGGTGGTCAGTCTATACAACTTCGAGAGGACCTTCCAGGTGGACACAGCTGTGGATAGGCCTTGCGCCCGGTGCGTACGTACAGCCCTGCCCACCTGCCCCCCCT